CAAAGCCCGGCGCAGAGCCGGCAGCGGGGCTGGCTGGGGACGGATCCCTTGCGGAGTCCCTTCCCTTTGCATCCCGTGCCCGGCTGGAAACGCTCCCTGCAGGCGGGGCCGATCCTGCCCGCCCCGGGTACCACCAGCCCCAGGCGGATCCGGGGGGCTGCGCTGCCCTGAAGGCAGGAGCGGGGGGTGCTGGGGCCGTCGTGGGGCTGAGGGTGCTTGTTACAATCTGCTTAAATGTTGCAGAAAGAACTTCAGATTCGAGTATTCCCTTAAGCAAAATTAGAAACCACACGGGTTCTCTGTTGATGCGAAAACTGATTTTATTAGTTGCTAAAAGATGCAAAGAGAAAGAGGAAAAAATAAGAAAAGTTGGAAAATGCTAAGATTACTTCTAGAAGCAGAGAAAAGATACCACCAAAGCTACCTTTCCACCGAACTGGTCTGTGAGGGGCGGGGGGCGGGAGAAGCAGTTTCTGCCCTTTTTTTTTTCTCTGTCTCTGCCGCTTTTCGATGTTATCTCTTTAGCTTGCGGGGTGGTGGGGTGTCTTAACAGCTTTAGTTCCCTGGAATGCAGCCAGGAAGAGTGGTTTCGCCGCTCACGCCGAGCCTCCCAGGCCGTGCATGGGTCCCGGTTCAGCCGCACCTTTTGGCCCTCAGAAATATCGCAAGGGAAGATACAACTCACACAGGTGGCACGGTGGGTCTCAGTCCTCTCCAGGCCAGCAGAGTTCCAGTCTCCAGTGACAGGCAGGCAGCATGCGGTGGCAGAGGAAAGGTGAGGGGAGCTGGGGAGAGCTTCTCAGCTAGGGTAACTGGTTGTCTCTCCCTTTTGCTCTCCCCGATTTTCCAAAATTTTTCCTCAGCTTTTACAGTGTTCAAAGGAGATTGTAGGTGGTTTCTTGGCACATAGCCCGATTCAGATGTTCGAGGAGATACGATAACCATAAACAATAGCAGGATCTTTTGGCAGGAAAACTCCAGGAAGAGGCTCTTCTGAGAACTTACGGTAGAAAGCCAACAGAGAATTTTTGGTAGGAAGTTGTGACAGGCAGAAACAATGGCTAAACATTATTTTTGGCATTTCTATGTTATCTGTGTGCTACACTGCTGCCTGTGCCCCGTTCTGCTCCTGAGGGAGCAGGGCAGCTCCGGGGGGATGAGGGGCCCTCCTGGCACCTCCTGCTCTGGCCCCAGACCTGGGGGGACACTTTGTCCTTTTCCTCCGTGTGGAGGGAGGGTGGGATTCACCTCTCTTACAGTTGAAACTTCACAGCCCAGAGCGCTCTGCTTCCTGCTGCAGCCCTTCAAAGGCACAAACACTTCCAGAGCCCATTTCCCTGGGGCAGAGCTGGGGAAAACACTCTCGGGGGGCTGTTCCCGAGAAACGAGGTGCAGGCATTCCCATGGCAGGTCCTCCTGCCAGCCTTGCTGCTTCTCTCGCTTTCAAGGAGAAAAGGGATCCCGAGCTGTCCCATAAACGTGCTCAGTGGTTCTCTGCACTAACACAGTTGCATGTGGCTTTTTCCCTGTTCCTGAAGCAATAGGAATCCATGCTGGGACTGCAAAGGGTGCCTGGGGGCTGGTTCAGGGTCTGGCTGGGCTGGAGTTCATGTTCTCCAGCGCAACCACCGGCACCTGAGACTGAGCCAGTGCTGGCAGCGCTGCAAGGGGAGAGAAGCTGGGAGGGGACAGAGCTGGGACAAGTGGCCTGAGGGAACAATATCCAGCAGTGGCCCTGACCCAGCAGGTGCCTTCCTGAGAAACTGTCCCACCCCCCGAGGCTCTGCTGCCCAGGCAGCAGCTGCACATCTGCCCCGGAGGGGAATTGATGACTAAAGTCCCTCCTTTGCTTTGCCAGCACACCTAGTTTACCTCTGCTGCCTGAACTCCCCTGACCTGGCCCCAGCCATTTTTCTTCCCTCTGCTTTTCCCCTTCTCTGTCCCATCCCACTGGCAGGAGTGCAGTAGCTGCTGGGGGGGTGCTCAGGGCCTGGTGGGATCCAACCCCAGTGCCATTTCTCCCTCTTCAGCTCTCCTGGAGCCCCTTTAGGCACTGGAAGGGCCTCTAAGGTCTCCCTGGAGTCTTCTCTTCTCCAGGTGAACACCTCCAGCTCTCCCAGCCTGGCTCCAGAGCAGAGGGGCTCCAGCCCTCAGAGCATCTCCGTGGCCTTTTCTGGACTCGCTCCAGCAGCTCCACGTCCTTGTGCTGTTGTTCCCCAGAGCTGGAGGCAGCTCTGCAGGTGGGGTCTCAGCTGAGTGGGGCAGAGGGGCAGAATCACCCCTCCTGTTCTGCCCATGCTGTGGGACACACAGAGGGTTTCTGGCCTGGGTCCAGCCTCTCACCTACCAGCACCCTGAAGTGCTTCTCCCCAGGGCTGCTCTCCATCCATTCTCTGCCCAGTCTGTCTTTGTGCCTGGGATTCCCAAGACCCAGGTGCAACCTTTTGCACTTGGACTCCTTGACATTCATGGGTTTTGCACTGGCCCAACTCTCCATCCTGTTGAGGTCCTTCTTGTGGGATGCCCTGGTTGCAGCCAGGACAGGGTTAATTCTTGGGGTTCACAGAATCCTTGAATATTGTGAGTTGGAGGGGACCCACAACAATCATCGAGTCCAACTCCTGACCCTGCACAGGACCATCCCCAAGAGTCACATCCTGTGCACAAGTGTATCATCCAAATGCTTCTTGAGCTCTGTCAGCCTTGGTGCTGTGACCACTGCCCTGGGGAGCCTATTCCAGTACGCAGCCACCCTCTGGGTAAAGAACCTTTTCCTCATATCCAACCTAAACCTGCCCTGACACAACTTCAGCCATTCCCTGGGGTTCTGTCACTGGTTCCCACAGAGCAGAACTCAGTGCCTGCTCCTCCTCTTCCCCTCCCAAGGAAGTTATAGCTGCAGTGAGGTCTCCCCTCAGTCTCCTCTTCTCCAGCTGAACACACCAAGTGCCCTCAGTGTCCTCACATGGCTTCCCCTCTAGGCCCTTCTGCCTCATCTACTTGACTTCCCACATTTGGGAATTTCCTGCTCCTGCCCTTAGGAGGTGGTGCATAAAAAGTGACCAGCACTGATGCAGCCCAGCCCCTTCCAAAGCCTCTTCCCAGGGGCCGTCCCAAACTCTCTCCCTGAGCAGCCTGGAGTCTGTTCTCCTCATGTTCAGGGTTGAAGGTTTGCTGGCACTTTTCCTCCTGTCACCAGGTGGCTGTGGCCAAGAGGGCTCCAAAGGCCATCACAAGACCCTCTCTGGTAATGAGGAGCAAATCCCAGGGGGCACCTCTCCGAGTTGGCTCCCCAAGTCTCCAGTCACTACTGATGGGCCAACAGAATGCCCCAGGCGCAGCTCTGGGCAGGAACACCTTGGACTTTCCCACTGCCCTGGGGTGGGAACCATGTGTGTCCCAAGGGGCAGCTCCTGGGGGAACAGGCACGAGTGGGGTGAGTGAGGGGCTCGGCAGTGGCAGCTGGAGCAGGAGCACAGGTCCCACTCGTGTGCCTGTGCCAGGGTTGGGGTGAGTGTGTCTGGGGAGGGAGGTGCCTGTGGGGTGAGTGTGTGAATGCTGCCTCTGTGTGCTGGGAGCACCAAGGCAGAGCAGCCACTGAGCAGGAGAGCCGTGGGGCTGGGAAGAGGGTGCAGGATGCACACAGGGCTGTGGGATGGGCAGAGAGGCTGTGCTGGTGCTTGAGGAATCCAGGGATGCCCTCAGCTCTCTGCACTTATGGATTTAGGAGTCCTGTTGAAAGGATGTGGGTGATGTTGAAGGCGACACCTTGTCCATGGCAGGTTGTGTGGCCAACTTTGTGTGTGTGTTGTCTCTGGGATACACACTCAGCTTCACGGCTGATCCCACGACAGACACATCCATTGTCCTGGGAAGGAGACCCTGGGTCTTGTGACATCCCAGGCTGGGCTCCAGCAGCTGAGTGGGAGCATCCCCAGGCCCAGAGCTGCTGCAGAGTCTCTTAGAAGAGCCTGGGGTGTCTCACAACAAACCTTAGGGAAAGTCTCTTTTCTTCTTTTCCCCACAGCCATGGCTTCACAAGATGACACCCAAAAGGGGGATGAAAAAGCACAGCTCCTGGCTTCACAGGAGGACACCCAAAAGGGGGATGGAAAAGCACAGCTCCAGGCTTCACAGAAGGACACCCAAAAAGGGGATGGAAAAGCACCTCTCCTGGCAGAGGTATTTCAGAACGAAGGACTGGAGGTTGGATATTGGCTCCCCAAACTGTCCAAGATCCTGGGAGTCCAGTGCACAGAAGCCCTGCAACATCTGCAATATGAAGACTACCTTAAGCTGGAGTGCCAAGTGCGGCACTCCTGGGAGAAAAAGGCGCTCCAGAAACTCCTGAAAATACCAGACAACAAAGCAACTTCTGAGGAGCTGCAGAAGCAGCACCTGGAGAGGACAAAGCAGAGACAAGAAGTGGCCAAGCAAGTCCTGAATGAGCTGACAGAAACGCCCAAGAGCCGCAGCCAGAGCCAGGATGCTGTAAGGCAGAAAGCAGAGGCTCAATGGCAAGCCATGGAGATTCCCAAGGAGTTCCAGCCAGCGCCAAAGAAACCTTTGGCGGATGTGCTGGAGAGCAACTCGAAGCAGCTGGAGCAGCAGGAGTCGTCAGTGTGCAGGAGGGAGAACATCCCCGACACAGAGGTGCTGAGGCAGGCATCAGGGGGACTGGCCCTGCAGGGCATCTACAGAACCAGCAGAGCTGAAGATGTGCTGGCAAAGCGAGAGCAGCTCATCAGGGTTCCTGAGGGATTCCAGCTCATCGGTCCAGAGAAAGGATCAGTGCTTGAGAGGAAGGAGTTCTCCTCCAATGCAGCAGAATCCTCTTTCACCAAGTCCATGGAGCAGCTGGGCTTCACCATCAGCGCTTCTGCCAAAGCCGAGTTCTGGAGGGTTAGTTTGGGCCTTGGTGTAGATTACAGCAGGTCCTCACAGTCAGAGGACACCCACCAGTCCAACTCTGAGCAGAGCTACTTTTGCATCACCAAGTACCAGTACATCCCTCTGGCCTCCTGCTTCTTCCAAAGGCATCAGCTTCTCCTCTCGGATGCAGCCCTGCAAGAGCTGCAACATGTGGAGCAGCTTTTGAGCTTCACTCGGGAAGAAGACAAGCCCAAACTGCTGGAGAGCTTCTTCCACAGGTTTGGGTCCCACGTCGACCAGGGTCCCCTCCACTTTGGGGGGATATTCTGGTGGAAGGCGTATACAGAAGGATTCAGAGACGAGCACCAGGAAAAGGTGAAGCGACAAACATCTGATGCCCTGAACAGCTTTGTTGGGGCCAGTCTCGGTGGCTTTGGGGCCAGTGGAGGAGGGGCCTCAACTGTTTCCATATCCAGCTCAAAGGCCTCTGTCGAGGACCAAGCCAGAGAGAGCTCCCTCACAGACATTCAGCTCTACGTGGTCAACACAGGGGGCCCATCAGAGACAGATTCTCTTTCTCAGTGGAAGAATGGGCTTGTGTCCAATAACTCAACGTGGTGCGTTATCGACCGTGGCTTCCAGCTGATCCCAGTGTGGGAGGTCATCCTGTGCAATCACAGCAGGGATTTTCAGTCTGTCTATGGAATGAGCAGTGCCCTCAGGGCTGCGTACAAAGCACTGACGAATCAGAGCGTTGACACCACTTTTAGAGAGGAACTGGCCAGTGCAGTGGAAGAGGCCAGAGATTTCATGGAGTTTGTGAAGACCTGGGAGGGGACAGTGGATGAAAGGAAACTGCTCATGCTGATGGATCTAAAAGAGGATCTGAATGCAAAAACCAAGAACCCCAGTGTCTGGATTGAGGTGTGCCTGTCGGACAAAGCCCTGCAGGAGGTCCTGGTGAACACTGTGAGGAGTTGCCAGGAGTCACCTCCAGAAAACTCCACCTCTATCAAGGCACTGTTGTGGAGCCTCCTGGATCCTCATATCAATTCTGTCAAGAACTTCCCCAAGTCTTCCTTCATTATGCAATGGATCTTCCAGACTGAGCACAGGCTTCCCAAAACTCCCAAAGCCTTTGAGTTTGAACAGCTCGTGGAGACACTGCAGCAAATGATGGAGCACATCCATGCTGTCACCTACACACCAGGAACGTCTGCTACTGCCATTCAGAAAGCAAAGATAGAAGCCACCTGGAGTACAATCTGTGTGATTCATTCCTCACTCCAGTCTCTCCAGGAAAGGGCTCAGAAGGACATGCAACTGTTGGTGCTCTTAATTGCAACCAGCACAGGGTATCAGGTGGACAGCAACACTTTTCAGCGCCTCCTTGGACATGAAGAAATTCAGTACATGGCAAAGGCAATGGAAGCGGCACATGAGCAGTATGTGAATCTGAAGGAGCAAGATGCTGACAGAGCTGAGGCCTCCCTTCTGCTGACAGGTCTGACTGTGACACCTGAAAGTCAAGAGCTGTCCCCAGAGCAGAAGAGGGAGCGTTTAGTTTTCATGGAAAGGCACATGAAAGGCTTATGGTCCTCAGGGATAAAGAATCTCCTCCAGAAGCACAGGGAATGCAAAGACTGGGAGATGCTGGAATGTGACTTGTACAAAACCATGTTAAGTGGCAGCAAATCCAAAGCAAATCAAGCCACCGCAAACCAAGAGTTCTTCCACTTGCTCAAGCGCCTTGGACTAGAAAGTCACTATCCAGGAAAAATGGGGATGGGAGATTTCCACATCATCTGCAAGACATCTCTGCATGACAGACAGCCCAGCAAGGACCAGGAACTACCATTTCACTTCTTGCAGAAGCTCTTAACCGTGGATTATCGGGTGAGGTACCTGACTTGCAGGGAGGGAAGCAACCCAGGACTTGTCCCTGTGCCAGAAACCACAGAGCAAGAGCACGAAGCCTCAGACTCCTTTGAAAACGTTGTAAATGATTTGGAGGAAGCAGCCCCTGAAGCTGCAAGCAGGGAGGGCCACGTGCACCCCATGGACCTCCAGATGGCAATTTTCCACTGTGCTGATGACTTCTTGAGACAGTCCATTGCAACCAAGCTGGCCTTCTGCCAACTGGCACTGCCTCTGCTGGTGCCCAAGCCGGGCACTGCCCAGATCGAGTTCCCACTCTGGGCCCTCAGCCAAATCAAAAGGAGTTGGAAAGAGGCGGAGAAGTCGGGACAGCAGCCCAGAATGAACAGTTACAATAACAAACTCATCCATCAGGCAGAGACACCCATCGTGTCCTTCATCCGCATTGGCACCTCTGCCTCCTTTTCCAAGTCTCAGCTCCTCAATGCTCTGCTGAGCAAACAAAGACATGACACCTTTTTCCATCGCCATTGCCGAGGCAGCACCAGAGAGAGTTTGCTGATGGAAGGTGTTGTGGAGATTGCCTGGTACTGTCCCCGGGGAAGCCCTGATGACACCTTTGAGTGCTGTGTGGCTTTCTGTAACCTGCATGGGGATGCCAGGGGTCACAGAGCACAGCTGCAGTTCTTACAGGAGATCTCTGCTGTGAACGTGGCTCTTGTATCCGAGTCTGAGCACATGTACGACAGAGGAAAAAAACTTCTGCGTGACCTGTCGCAGTCACAAAGGCCTCTGGTTTGTCTTCTCACTGACAAAGAGAACGTTGCAGCTGGACAATCCAGCAAAAACATAACAATAGGGATCAAGAACAGAAATGAAAGAGTAGTGTTGCATGAGCTGAGCAAAACAATCGGGAATCTCCTGGAAGGGTCCAACCCTCGTTTCAGCCTGGACGCCTGCCTGGACAAAGCTCGCCAGCACGGATTCTTAGTGGATGAGGATCAACCCGAGTGTGTGACAGCCAAAGCAAAGGCAAAGGAGCTGGTGACTCTTCTGAAGAAAGAGAAGCTGTCTGAGATCAACTCCAAGCTCCTGCCTCAAGAAAATCTGTGGCACCAGTGGAGCCAAATTGAATCCCTAAAGGCAGAAATAAGAAGAAAGCAATTAGAGCAAGTTTTCCCCCTCGATCAGCTGATGAACCCATTCCTTGGCTTTCTCCTGTCACAGTCAGCAGATACCAAGAAATACTTCCTGCAGTGGATGAAGGTCTTTATGGACGACCTGTCCTCTGGTTACCTTGAAGAACTGAGGAGAGACCAACACAAGTTATGGTCTGAAATCCGCGCAAGAAAGAAAGACCAGGAAACACCCAGTGAGTTAAATGCCCTCTCTGAAGAAATCAAAGACTCATCCATTGGCCTTGAGCACCTTTTAAGAGAGGTAGGGCAGATTTATGAAGCTAAGGAAGTAATGAGTTCACGGCATGAAAATGTTGTCAAACTGCCCCAAGTTGCAGCAGATCTGATGGTTTCAGGGTATCCTGTGGAGCTGATGGATGGGGATGCTTCTTGCCTCCCCCTGCACTGGGTGGGAGCAATTTTTGACAGCCTAATTGAGAGGCTGGGGGACAAACGAGTGTTTGTTCTCTCCGTGCTCGGCCTGCAGAGCACAGGGAAGTCAACCCTGCTGAATGCCATGTTTGGGCTGCAGTTCAACGTCAGTGCAGGGAGATGCACCTGGGGAGTGTTTATGCAGCTCCTCCCACTGGACGAGGAGCTGCAACAGGACATGGGCTTTGATTACATGCTGGTTGTTGACACAAAGGGGCTTTGTGCCCCAGACAGGGCCAGTAAACAGTCCCTGAATAATGACAATGAGCTGGCCACCTTTGTCATTGGCATCAGCAACATGACCCTGATCAACATCTTTGGGGAGAATCCCTCAGACATGCAGGATGTTCTTCAGATCACTGTGCAGGCTTTTCTGAGGATGAAGGAAGTACATCTTTCCCCAAGCTGCCTCTTTGTCCACCAAAATGTCAGAGAAGTTACTGCCAAGGAACAGAACCTGGGAGGACAAAGACTTTTTCAGGAAATGCTGGATGAAATGACAGTGGCAGCTGCCCAGCAGGAATCCTGTGACATCTCCTCCTTCAGCGACATCATCCACTTTGATGTGAACACCCACGTTCACTATTTAGCTCACCTGTGGGAAGGAAACCCCCCAATGGCACCACCCAACCCCACCTACAGCCACAATGTCCAGCAATTAAAGAGAAAAATTCTCCAGGTTGCCAAGAAGGAGTCACAAGGCAGGATTTTGAGGCTCTCGAGCCTGAAAGTTCGTATTGGTGACCTCTGGAATGCTTGGCTGAATGAGAACTTTTTCGTCTTCAAGAATTCACTGGAGATTGCTGTGTACAGGAAACTGGACACTGCCTTTAGTCAGTGGACCTGGAGGCTGAGGAGTCACATCTCAGAGGTACAAATGAGACTGGGCAACAGAATTCGGAATGGAGACTTGCAGCAAGTCACCAGAGAACACCTGGAAGGGCTCGTGCAAGAGACAAGTGATGCCATCATGACAGACATGGAAAAGTATTTCAGGGAAGACAAAGATCGTGAGATTTTGGTCCAGTGGAAAAGCAGCACAGAGCTGAAGATGAAAGATCTGAAAGAGTCTCTTCTTCTTGAAACTCGAAAGAAATGTGAGAGTCTCATTGAACTGCAGAAGACCCAGCATAAACTGGATGCAAGGAGTTCAGAATATGAAGACGAGCTGCTGAGAAGGAGCAGGGAGTTGGCTCTGACTCTGAAAGGCAAGAGCCTCAGTGAGAGAGAACTGAGAGACAACTTTACTGCTGTCTGGGACAAGTGGATTGCTGAAGTCTCCTGTGCTGCTCCCCCTCCAGAACAGGTGGATATTGATGTGGAAATAGAAGATGTCCTTCTGGAGTACTTTAAGGAGCCGGGATTTTATGCACGGATTAGGTCATTTCCCAAACACAGAGAATTTTCTTTGGACTTGCGGAAACATGTCAGGAAGAAAAACCTTTTTGCTTTGCTGCTGCTGGACCTTAACGATGCTGATGTGAACAACTTGCAGGACATCACAGAGAACATCATACAGTGTGTGAGGGCAAACATTGATAAGAAGGAACAGAAGAAAATGGATTACAGTCGAAATTTTATTCATGAAATACTCAATGAAGTACAGAAAGGTGTGAACTCTGTCCCCAGCAATGCATCATGTACGTTTACCAGAGATTACAGCCTAGAATTATCTCTCTACCTGTGCAGAATGGCAGGGGAAAGGTTTAAAGCCATGCACGAAGAATTCCGGAAGGATAATTACCCAGTCATCTACCTGAGCAGCAAGAGAGAAGATTTCTTCACACATTTCCAGATTTCCTGCCAAGGAACCACTTCTGTCCCAACTTTTGCTACCTTCCTTTGTCAAAAGATTGCCCTATCTGTCTTCCATCCTGCATGTCAGAGGACGGCTAAAGCCATTGCTAGAGACATGCAGGAGAAAATCCCAGATTTCCAGGGCAACAGAGCCAATCTGGAGGTTTGTATCCTGAGATTCCTGGCACAAGAAGAAAAGTTTAAGTACTTCAAGGAGTACCTTAAACACCCAAAAAAGTTTTTTCAGATGTACATTGCACTACATTTTCTGAGGTGCTGTTTAGATGAGAACAGGAGGCTGGAGAAGTTTTTAGCTTCCTCCCTTGATCTTCTCTGTGGAAACATCCTGTCAGCTGTTTCTTCATCAACTGAAAAGGTCAAAGATAGAAATGACAGAGAGGACAAAACCTCTCTCTGGCTGGATGAATTTTGTAGGGAACTGACAGAGGTGATCAACTTGCCCAGAAGTGAGCTGAGGTGCATTGAGCATCAGGAGATCACAGACCTCCAGTTATTTAACAAAACCATGGAGGTAGCACTGGCTGCAATGAGGGATTGGCTCAAGGGAAAATTTGTTTCTGCTGACCTGAGCTGGTTTGAAAGGCTGCCTCTCACCATCCCGGCGGAGCTGTTTTCAGGGTGCTGGGAGCAGTGTCCCTTTTGTGGGGCTGTCTGCACATACACCATGTGGGGACACGATGGGGACCATCAGCTTGTCTTCCATAGACCAGAATTTTTGGCAGGACGGAAGTGGCGTGGAACAGACCACCTGGTCATTGAGATTTGTCGTAACTTTGCAAGTGCCGTTAAATTTTCCAGTTGGAAGATTCTTCCTGATCCATCCATGCAAGCGTACTGGAAATGGTTTGTGTGTCGTTTCAGAAGAGATCTAGAAACCTTGTACAATGGGAAATTTCTGGGCAAAGGGGAAATCCCTGAGGCCTGGAAGAGAATTACTAAGCAGGAAGCACTTGCTGAGCTGGACAAGTGTTATGCCACTCTGATGGGAAGGAAGAACCTCCATGGCTTTGCAGTTTAGAAGAACTGAGTACAAGGCTGTCCACAAAATGCTGTTTCAATGCTTATGCTGTCAAGCCACAGGAAGACAATGGTATCCAACTGCTGACAAATTTGGGTGAAATAAGGTGCGTTACTTCAGCCCTCACTCAGAAACTCCCTCACTTCCTGATCAACCAGAATCCTCTTCCCTTCCTGCCATAAACATTTCCCTCTGCTTTGCCCTTGAGCAAAACAAAAACCCTCCTTGTGGTGATGAGTCCAATGGCCAAGATGGAGCCCAAGTGCCAGAGGAAGATCAAAGGCAGCACTAGGAAGCACCAAGTCGATGAGCTGCTTCAGTGGAATCCCTTGGAGGCTTTGATAATAAAGGAGCTGGTTTGGACCGGCCTGATCCCTGTGTCCTTTCTGTCTGGGGGAGCCCCAGCTGGGGGTGACTTGAGCATCTGTGCTGTGCACAGGGGCAAGTGACAGGGGGGTGGCCCTGGGCCAGGGTCTGGGGGAGGGGATGTGGCAGGAGAGGGTCTGCTCGGTTCAGGGGGTCTGGTCAAGGACCACCCTCACTGTCTGAAGGGACAGTAAATAGAGCAGGAAGCCACAAAGCAGGAGCTCCAGGGAAACCAATGTGAGTGGCAGTGAAACAGGAGCCTGGACTAAAAGAGTTAACTAAGAAATTTGGGCCTGCTAACAAGCTATGAATATCCAAACGATCTGTACTCGTTTTTTCCACCTACTGGACCAAAACTTAAGAGTATGGTAAAAGAAACATAGAATAGGCCTAGAGGTAATAAATAAGGATGCAGTAAGATAAAGTAGACATTTGAATAGAAGAAACAGGTTGGGAGCCAAGGCCTTCTCCCAGCTTCAGTGAGCGGGTTGAAAACAATAGAAGAGAAGGGAGGTCAAACCGAGGAAGATGAGAATTAGCCCCCAGACCCATGGAGGAAGAACGGATGTACCACCAAAATTGAGGGCCAAGAGAAGCACCGCCCCAAGCCCCCCCTGAGCTCCACCTATACTCTGCCTGTTATTAACATGCATAGATAGATTTTGTAACCACATGAATATGCACTTAATCATATATGAAAATTGTATAAAAACTGCTGATTTTGTGTGAAGCCTTTGAGCAAGTTTGTCCAACGCGAGCTGGCTTGCTCCCAACGTTGAATAAACAAATATCTTGCTGCTTAAAGATAAAAAAAGGTCTCTGAGCAGTCTTTTGGGCCGATTTTTCAGATTCAGCAGGTGACAAGGGAGGCAGCAGTGGGACCCAAGCCTGGTGTGTGCCATGGACAGAGGGCTGAGAAGGTTTATCCCAGCCATGATCTCTGATCGGGAGCTGCTCAGCTGGGAAACTGCAGGACAAAAGGGAACGAGCCCAAACTCTCCCCAGCCCCAGAGCTGAGAAAGCAACCATGGAGCCAAGGACAGGAACCAAAGCTGGGCAGGGGGAACATGTGCTGCAGGGGCTGAGGGTACTGGGTAGACCTGGGGGTGGGAGCAGATTTGGGTGCTACTGGAGTCAGACTGGGAGTGCAGGTGCCCCAGGCCATGGTGTCAGCTGAGAGAGGTCCCAGTGCAGCTACTGGGCTGAGGGGGGTCCCAGTGCAGCTACTGGAGTGAGTGGGGGTGGCCTCTGGCCTGGGCTGGGCTATCAGGCACTACAGGGTCCCTCACCTGGTACCCTCACCTCTGCCAGCAGCTCCCACCTCCTTGTCCAGCACAGTGAGATGGTTCTCTGCACCTTTCCATGTCACTGCCAGGCCACCCTGGCCAGCATCTCCCTTGGGGGGATCGTCCGGCACGTCCTTCCTTGCAGACATTGCTGTGGGAAGGAACAGAAACAGCTTTAAGGTCCTTTCCTACCTGACCAATTCTAGGACTAGGGGCCTTCCAGCGACACTGGGATGCAGCAGCTCTGCCATTCTGCAAGGGTTGGACCTGAGGTTGGGTAAAGGACTGATAAAAGGTAGGATCTGCTTTGCCTTTGCCTTGAGCATGGAGCTAAGAAGCCTTGCTGCAAAGGCCAGGCTGCTGCAGGAGCAGAGCTGCCTGCAAAAGCTACAGGAGGCACTAAACAAGCTACAGGAGGTATCCAGTAAGCTGTCAGAGGCATGCAGTGAAGCTATTTTTATCAAGAAAGATGGTCTTTTGTTAAAAAGTTGTGACAATCAAGTACATGGCAAGGATCAATGCTGCTCTGTCCGTCTGTTCTCCTCTGGGTGCACCAGCCCCAAACTTGGGGATGTGACAGCACAGTCATGGGCCAGTGAAAAAAAGCTTTTTCTGGCCAAATTTCTCCTGAATGTTGGTTTCTTCCAAGGAGAAATGAAGATCCACTTTGAGACTGCTTTCACCACAAACCCCCTGATCTTTGTGCAACCCATCTTGGACCATCCAAGTTTGTGTAAGATACATGAGACCACAGGGTTGCATAAAATACCTGGGAACATGCAGTGACTGCTCCTTCTGGTCCTGCAGGCTCCTTATTTGTAGAATCATGGAATGGTTTGGGTTGGAAGGGACCTTAAATCTCATCCAGTTACAATGCCCTGCCATGGGCAGGGACATCTACCACTATCCCAGGTTGCTCCAAACCCCATCCAACCTGGCCTGGAATGCTTCCAGGGATGGGGAAGCCACAATTTCTCTGGACAACCTGTGCCAGGGCCTCACCACCCTCACAGAAAGTAATCATTGTTCTGCCTTTGGTGTGCAGCTTTGTTGTCCAAGTTGCAGCCACTGTGTGGTCATTGTTTCGCTTCCTAACATTTTGTCCTTTTTATAATAGATGTGTGGCTTGAAAAAGCAACATGGACTTGCAGGGAAATTATATCAGGAAGAAGGGTAACTTTCTGAATGGGGTGGTACTGGAGAAGAGAGCTGAGTGACACCAGTTTTTATGGACAATAACTGCACTGGTGATGTTGGGTTGGAGCAGAGGTGTCCAGATTATGGATTCTTTATGTGAAAGATAAAACTAGGCTTGCTTTAAGATGATCTTTAAAGTCCCTTCTAACCTAAACTATTCTATGATCCTGTCATTCTTAAAAGATGCTGGAACTATTCCTGATTCAGGCAACACAATACTGCAGCAGCCCAGAACTTGTGTGAGCTGCTGCTGCTGCTCTTAAATTGAGTCATATGTCTAAAAATGCTTAAAACCACCTTGGACTAAAGGAAGAGGAGGAACCTCAAACTGCTGTGAAGTCCTGGAGTCCTGAATTTGCCCTTTGCAACAACTGTGTCCTCGAGACAATGTCCTACTCCAATAAAAATAAATATGTAAGAGAATAGGTGTTGCTGGCAATGTCACCATCTTCTACTTTATAGACCTTCTTGGCCATGAAACCAGGACCAGAAACCCTGCTGCCCAGGAGGGATGGCAAAATTGGGTAAGGAAGGGCACAGGAACGGGCTGTTTCTCTCTGTAGGATTCTTTGTGAATGGTTTTAAGAAATCTCAGGGCTGGGAGTATCTTCCTTGAGACCAAATATCGGCTTTATAGCTGCTTGAGTGCCCTGAAAGAAAAGGCAGCTCAGATGTCCACCTTCAGGTTATCTAAATCTAGGGTTTGCTCCCACCTGGGTAAACTCCATGTGGGATAAATCATGGTTTTGCAGTCAGTGAAACACAGATAAATGTTAATGCTGCTCTGGAGATGTACAGCTGAATTTCTGCTTCCTGGTTCTCCAGGCAGCGCTTTTATCCCTGTATTTCAGGGGCTTTGGAAGCAGCTGGCTTGTTTGTTGGTGTCCTTGCTGAGCTGGAAGTCTCTGAGGTGGGAGAGGTGCAGCCCAGCCCCGATTCCTGGAGGGAGCAGGGGCAGCTCCCTCTGCTTTGCTGCTCGAAACACCTGGCAGCAGGTTGGATTTCCAGGCAGGTTTTGGCCAACTCAGGTCCGGGCAGGTTTCCACAGGGCTGTCCAAGGCCACTGAATGGATAGCAGGGCTGTTCCTGGGTGGATTTTATTGCAAATTGTGGAGGTGCTGTGAGGACAAACATTGGGCAATCATACCAAAGGTCTGTCGTCCTTCCTGCCATTTGCACAGAGGACACTGGAGGAAGAGGATGGCAGAGAAAAAGTGAAGGATCCTTATGGTCTCAGGTTGCTTGGGGACATCCCATCATCAGAGGTAAGATGTGGCATGATGGAGGTGATATATGGACACACAGGGTTTAACCCAGTAGCTTTCACACTAATCTAGAGTGATTTGGGGTGCTTTGGACTGGCTGAGATATCCCCCTGGGGCTGGTGGACAAGGGTCAGGAGAGAGGACACCAAACCAGGGAGGATGGACAGGACACAGGGACATTTCAGGCAGCACTTGTCTAAGTGTGAAAAAAGGAATTGAGACCTGGATGTTCCCAGAGGACAAAGTCTGTGACCTGCTGAGTGATAAAAAGCCAACTGAGATTTAGAAGAGTCCTTCCACACATTCATATTAAAACATTTTATGCATAAATATATCTCTGTTAGTGTGGGTTTGCTAGGAGGGCTGTAGAGAAATGGAAGAGTAAGAAATATCATCATAGAATATGTCTAAGTTTAAATAAACAATTATTAAATTAATATCCTGACTATTCCTGAGTAAAGCACAGATTAGATTCTTTGGATTGGTCTTATCTATTTGCATATTCTTCAGTGAGGACAAAATATAAAGCAGTTTAGAAAATTCAGCCCTTATTTCTCTTAGAACATTTGTAAATTATAAATATATATAGAGAGGATTTGGGGCATCTGTGACACAGACACTGATGGTTTCTAAGGGAATTAAATGTGTCCCACATCCCCAGGCTCTAATCATTGTCTGTCTCCTGCTTCCAAGGCAAAAGGAATCCCAGACTCGTCCTCCCTGGATCTTCCTCTGTTACCTGTTAGGTTCAACATGATTTTGAGAGTAACAGCAGGTTTTTTTGTCCATCACAGGAGTCCACAACAGATTGGAAAATACAGGGGGCTTTGAGTTGGCCTGTCAGAAATCATCATTCTCTCACATATCAACACTGGGAATCAGAACACATCAGTATAATTAAGGAGAAAATCCATAAAACCCCACTGCCAGAATAATTTACATCCTCTGGACTGAATAAAACTGCTGGAGGGGGATTTCAGCACTAGCTCTTCATTGCCATCTTGTGGGAGGCAGGTGACCTGAGTAGGATGCTCTTTGGAGTACAGGAATGTTGGGGTTTTTTCCTGCTCTTAGTGGTGTGATAATGAAAACACAACTCTGGGCTCACAGGGTGCCTTCAGAGTTCAGGTTATACCAGTGCTGCCATCAATCTTTCTGGTCCAAATCCTCTGGGGACACATATTTTATCAAAACATGTTTCGTGGAGCTTATTTCCTTTGGCCACCTACAAAGTGGGTGCATGGGAGTGGGTGCTTCCATGAAAGTTTAGTTATTCAAACAATAGTTATTTCCTCTGGCATAAGCAGAATACAGATGTAGTAAATGTATGAGAATGAAAGTGTGTCAAGAAGGTCAAGGGAGGGGATTCTCTCCCTCCACTCATATGAGACCCCACTTGAAGTCCCCAGAATAAAGACATGGAGCTGCTGGAGTGAGTCCAGAGGAGGCCATGGAGATGCTCCAAGGGCTGGAGCCCCTCTGCTCTGGAGACAGGCTGGGAGAGCTGGGGGTGTTCACCTGGAGAAGAGAAGGATCCAGGGAGACTTGAGAGCCCCTTCCAGTGCCTAAAGGGGCTCCAGGAGAACTGGAGAGGGACATGGGACAAGGGCCTGGAAGGATAGGACAAGGGGGAATGGCTTCAAATAGAAATAGGGTAGATTTAGATTAGATATTAGGAAGAAATTCTTCCCTGTGAGGGTGGAGAGTCCCTGGCCCAGGTTGCCCAGAGAAGCTGGGGCTGCCCCTTGATCCCTGGAAGTGTTCA